GAGGGGCGGGGTGTTTTTCATGATCCATTCAGCCCTTCTGTCTGCTGACTGGCAGTGATAGGGCAAATTATGGTGATGGATTTTGTGGTGTTGATATGACCATTTGGAACTGGACTGAGACCCACCAATTAATCTATGTAATATTCAGGGATTCTCACTCTGAAGGCTAGAATGTCCTTTCATGTATTTATACCTGCTCCTGTATTTTTCACTTCATACATCTGATGAAGTGGGTTCTAGCCCATGAAAGCTTAGGCCCAAATAAATTTGTTAGTCTCTAAGGTGCCACAAGGACTCCTCGGGTTTTTCTGAGTCCGTGTGGAGCACTGGAAATTGCTACAAGCATGGCTGAGAATTCTTTTTATTTAGAGTATCAGCGGATTGAATCATCACTGGGATTTGTTACTGATCAGTTCAAGTTCTCAGCTATTTTGACTCTACAAATTACACCTGTGTGAGAGCATGGGCTTTTAGCTACAGTAAGCCACTTTTAGCCACATGTATCTGTGCCAAGTCAAGGATCCTAGACCATTGCAATAACAGCAGAATCTCAACCCATCACCACCCTTACTCTACAGATAATTTTCATGCAACAATTTCATTGGTTGTATGTGGGGAAAGTGCACAGATGGATTTCTGGGCCCAACTGCCACAGTTCAGCAGGTTCAATCACTGGGATTCACAGTCTGTTAGTGTCCAATTTTTAACTTCTTGGACATTTGTGGCTTTTTTTACAATATGACTTTGATAGCACAGGCTTTCAGCCGGTGTGTGTGTGTGGGTGCGCACTGAGGTGGGCCATCTCACCAGTACTCCATTGCTCTCCACTGGGCTCTGAGTTGGGACTCAAGAGATCAAAATTCCATTCCTGCCTCAACCTTTCTGTATGACCTTGGACAAGTCACTTAATTTATTTCATAGAATATCAGGGTTGGAAAGGACCTCAGGAGGTCATCTAGTCCAACCCTCTGCTCAAAGCAGGACCACTCCCCAGACAGATCTTTACCCCAATTCCCTAAATGGCCCCCACAAGGATTGAACTCATAATCCTGGGTTTAGCAGGCCAATGCTCAAACCACTGAGCTATCCCTCCTAACTGTCCAGTGGGGATGAAATGTCCCTACCTCTCAGGGGTTTTGAGAAGATAGTCTTAAGGATTTTATTACTACAGTGATGAAAGCCATGTAAGCACTTCGCTACCAATGCAGGCCCAAAATTAAATCCCTGACCTTCTGGTCAAAGCTCTGTAACCCTTCACCAGTCCTGAGCAACTCAAGCTCCTGTAGTCTAACACAACAAATGTATCTACTGAAACTGGCCCCCATCTAAGTATTTGAACGCTCAGGTGGAAAAGCAAGTTACAAAATGTGCTTTGCTTGGAGAGGTATCTTTATTAGAATAGAGATCCCAATAAATTGTGCTTCACTAAACAGCACGCAAGTCTAAATCGGAAATGGGGAAAGCTGCTGATAAAATTCCTAGAGCTGACACTAAACTTGTGTGTACATATATTGAGAACCTGATTTTCATACCCCATCCTCCAGTTAAAGTCAATGGGAGCTGCAGGTGCTCACCTGAAAATCAGGCCTTTAAATATTTATTCAGTTTGCTACTTCAGTTACCAGATTTCTAGTCAATGCTACCCATTGTAGCGACCAGTCCCACCCTCTCTCTGCTGCTGTGCTCATGTGGTTCAGTTTTTGTCACTGGTTGTAGAATCTGAGTAAGCTCTTGGCTCTGGCTAGCGTTTTTCCCTGAGAATGAAGCACTGATAAGAGCAAAACCTTTGTAAAGTATACTCCTGGCTTTAACAGCCTGTGATACATATAAGCTATGCAAATATAGCATCTCTTCCACCCCCCGCACACACTCAGTGGCGCTACTCACCTACCACTTGTCTCTGTACCTTTCGACAATCCCACTGCTCTTGGTACAAGAGGCTGCTCCGCAGCTCTGAGTGTGTGCGCCTCATCAACTCTTTGAAATCTCACCTGAAAATCCATCTGGCTCTTGTTTATGCTTTTAAGTTTTCTCCCTTTGCTAACTGTTCTGTAATATTGTGCAGATTTAGTGGTTGTAGAATAAAACAAATATGATAAAAGCTGCTATAAATGTCTTGGGTGAGGTGTGATATTGTGTGTGTGTGTGTGTGTGTGTATCTCCCCAGTGCACCATTGATTGGCTTCTAGGTGCAATTTGTAAAGTTCTGAATGTGTATCCGTGTGGTCAGCTGGGTAGAGCACTGGACAGACTCAGAAGACCTGGGTTCTAAATTCCTGACGCTGCCACTAGCCTGCTGGAAGACCTTGGGCAAGTCCCTTCCCCTCCCCGTGCTTCAGTTTCCCATCTGTAAAATGGGGATAATGATGCTGACCTCTTTTGTAAAATGCTGAGATCTGATGAAAAGCACTATGTAAAAACTAGATGGTTACTAAGCACAGTAGAAGAGCGGATTATTTATTACATAGGGGATGGGTCCCAGGGATCACCCCTCTCTCACTCATTAGCTACGATAGGTTATAGTTTGCTAAGTCGCTCTGGCTTTCTGGAGTTAAACACCACAGTTGGCAGCAGGGAGGATCCCGTGTGCTGGCCCCTGATCTCTAGGGCAGTGTTCAGCCAATTTTTGTTTGGTCCAGCTGTGTCAGACTTTGAGTAATAAGGATTGGTGGGGGGTCATTGTTTGTAGGCACCCAGATACCGTGATGGGCCCTCATTTAACAATAATTATAATTTTCTATAAAGCGATGGCTCTGGGAGTATGAGAGCCATTCTCACACCCCCAAATCAACACCTAGTGGGAAATTAAACTTCTGGACAGGCTAACTCCTTCTTTCATTGCACAAATAAATATCCAGTCCTCTCTGGGACAGGAAATGCTCTGTGATGGTTAGAACAAGGGCCTGGGGGTCGAGCCCCTGCCCTCTATCCCCAACTCTTACTTGCTGTGTGACTTCAGTCACGTAACCTGTCGGTGCCATTGTTGGTCAGTGTGTAAAATGGGGTTAATTACCCACAGCATGGGGTGGGATTGCAACGGTTTAATTCCTATTTGTAGTGAGTTTTGAGGTCATTGGGGGGAAGATGCAAAATGTAACGTTAACTACATGTGTGGAGTAATGGTAGTCAGAATGGCTGGAGTCTGCTGTAGAAATGTCCAAGACTACATAGATCTTTATAGAAAGAAGTAAAGGCATCCAGTTGGTCCTGTCCAGAAGGCACTCTAGCAGCTTGGGTAATTGGAAGGAAATATTGCAATACTTTGCTGCAGTCTGAATAGAATCACACTCCCTTTATTGTAAACATCAGTGCTGATAAATTGTCAAGTGCAGCTGCATAGCCAATACCACTGATGTAGTGTTCCTCCATGAGAGACTGCCTAGGGTCATTACATATTGTGCCTAGATGAGTCCTGTCTAAAGGTCTGGCTGTTGTTTGTTAGTGGCTTCACAGAAGCAGAATGCTCAAGCACGATTTCTCCCCCTAAATGTACATGGTGAGTCCACTGAATGTTGTTGGCTGCCTGTGACGCTTCTCAATCGCCGTGGGTAGTGGGCAGCTGCAGAGTCATTAAAGCAGCACTCCAAGGCAGAGATGTTTATAGGTGGATGGGACTGCAGAGAAACACTGCCTTGAATTTTACGATGTGCAGTTGGCTCGATGTGTACAGCTCTGCTGCTGATTCTGGAAGGAGCAGATGGAGAAGAGACGGGACAGAAGAGCGGAGGGGATGGCGATGGTTTTAGTGTTGGCACTCAGACCGCACTTTATGCACCTTGGCTACATTTCTGGAGGAAACTGCTACAATTACAGCAATTCACCTGGCTTGGTGAATCAATTGTAAACAGCAGCTTGCTTAAGTGAAGTATCTCCCCATGAACACCACACTGGTGATTCGTTATCCACTCTGCTTGCTGGCTTTCAGATGGAGTATAAGGGGTTGGCTTTGAGCTCTGAAGCCCAAATGGCCTGATACTTATCTGAGTGGGGTGTTTAAAGACTGATCAGTCTGGCTAGTATTTGATTCACATCCCCACAGTGCCTGAGCACCCCACAAACATGAATGCAGTTATTCTCCCATTACCCTGTGAGGTGGGGAAGTATCGCCAGTTTTACAAATGGGGAACCGAGGCACTGAAATTAATTGTTTTTTGCCTTCAGTTGTTATACAGGCAGTCAGAGGATCATGATGGTCCTTTCTGGCTTTTACACAGGGAGTCTGATGGAGCTGGGAAACAAACCTAGAACTGAGTCCCAATCCAGTGTCTTAACCCAAGACCATCCCTCCTCCCAGTATGTCAAGATCCACAGTCCTGTGTGTGAGAAACAAACCCCTCAGAATGAGAGGGGAGTTGATAGCCAGCGGATGTATAATTTAGTGTTTAAAGCTTGCTGGTGCCAAATACATCTGTATGCACTCTGCACAGGAATAAATGCAGACCATTGCATTCCTTATAACCACAGCTGTGCCACTGTGCCTCTTCTCTTCCTTCTGCTAGTGTAGCTTTTCTTCACCACTTTGACCTGAAAACTTCTCTTTCCCAGGCCCCATCATTATCAGGACAGCCTGGAGTTGGCCAAGGGAAGAAGATAGGTCATCGAGGAGTTGATGCTTCTGGCGAAACTACCTACAAAAAGGTTTCATCTCTTGCTTGATTTCTGGAGGGTAGTGGCCACACGTACAAGTGGGAGGTTGAGAATAGAATAGACTAGAATCAAGAAGCAAATGGGGAATATAGGTGTGCAATTGGCCAACCAGTTTGATTAGATTTCCCTGCAGTGTATTGTGCTGACCTTACACGCTACAAGCATTTTACAACTGTCATCCTATAGAAACCTGAGGCAGTCTGTAGTTTGGCCTCATACAAAGCAGCTAATATCTGACACCTCCCTCATCAGCATGATCACAGAGCAGCAAGGTTACCTATATGTGGGGGCTGTTGCTGTAACTTACGGTGAATGTGCACTGACTGCTCTCTTCCTTCTGCTAGACCACTTCGACCACTCTGAAGGGGGCCATCCAGCTGGGTATTGGTTACACGGTGGGGAACCTGAGCTCCAAGCCAGAGAGAGACGTCCTGATGCAGGATTTTTATGTGGTGGAGAGCATTTTCTTCCCCAGGTAAGTGGACAAGTGAAACAAAATGCAGGGGCTGGCTGTTTCCTTTCATCATGCTGATTTAAAGGGGCTTCACTCTAAGCAGAAAAGTGGGCCCTCAGAATTCAAGTGTGCACCTATTTCTTACCAGCACATTACTGGAAGCATTAGAAATCATGGTGCTGCAACTCAAGAGATGGGGTTAGATTTACTATGGGCTGTGATATATCTGCTTACTGGGCTTGTTAGCCTCAAAGCTTTCATTGCCTTTATAATTGTCGTCCTTTTTAACCTACTTACGTGGAATTTTCACCTCCAGATGTTATGTTATCTTTGTACTGAAGAAACCCTCTGAGCCAACAATGTTCATTGGACCACTTCAGCTATTGCATGGCTGAGCTGTTCATGTGCAGGGCTTACAGAATCGAGATTCTGTATGTAAATACGTCTAGCCTTGCAAACTTCTATTCTCTCTTCCCAAGGAGTGAGTGTTTCCTTGCCAGATGGTTAAAATATTAGATCTTTTTGTTAATGTCCTGATGAGGTCAGGCAAGATCTTTGTGCTTAGGCTGGTGACTTCTTGGGATGCCTTTTTACAAAGCTCAATTTGCCTTTTTTTCATATCTATTAACTGGCTGGGTGTAAATGTGCGAGTATGCGAGGCGTTAGTGTGAAATAACATGCCTGCTCTTTTTGTATCCTTGCCATGCAGTGAAGGAAGTAACCTCACTCCAGCTCACCACTACCCTGACTTCAGGTTCAAAACCTATGCACCCGTGGCTTTTCGGTACTTCCGGGAGCTCTTTGGAATTCGTCCAGATGATTATTTGGTATGTGTGGAGTTCTTTATTTCTCTGGGGTTAGTACTAGCTATGAATGGGCTTGGATATAACTGCTTTATTTGAAGCCTCAGCAAAAGTGAAGATGGGGGAACGCCATACCACAGACTGATATGTGACCAGTCAGCTGCACGGGATTAGGGGGTTTCCTTGGATTTTTGTTAAATTCAGTCTCCAGATAATAGCTGGGGGAAACTGAGGCATGGAGTCAAGTGATTGGGTCAATATCACAGGGGCAGTTGAAGTCAGATTTGAGGAGAGAACATAGAGAAGAAAGCCAAACATCCCCCACCTAATATTTGGTAGCTGGAGACTGAGGTAAGTACTGGGATTAGAGAGAATCTCTGATCCTGTACATCAAGCAGATCCCAAATGTGAGGAAGTCTGTGGTGGTGCTTCTCTTGTACAATCTGGGAGAAAGACCAGCTGGAAGTGTGGGTCTGAGAGGCTCCTGGTCTTCTGGTATTTCTGCTTTGGTTTGCTGAGTCCATTCCCAGTGAATGAGGTCTATTAGGGCACCCTCTGTTAAAGGAAGAATAGAATAATCTACTGTCATGGAGTCTTTAAAGTGCATTTGGTTAAAATGATATGGTGGGGTTCCATATCTGTTACTCACTGATAATGCAACAAATGCACTCTGTCTACAAGAAAAAAGATGAGTATTCTAAACTCCCTCGGGACCTCAGGGAAGATGTTTTCTGCCTCATGCATCATCCCCAGTAATAAAGATTTAACAATCTGAGAGTAGTTAACACTTGGTAATGTGAAAATCAGAATAGACTCTAACTTGCTCTCCTAGAGCTGAAATGGCTCGTCAGGGCTAACCAATATTCTCCCGTCAGGTCACTGATTGGATTTGGAATAGACTAAGGCCATGTCTACACTATGGGTGCTGGAGTGACACAGCTACGGCGCAGCTGTAGTGTAGCTGCTTCCTACTGTGACAAAGGGGTTTTCCCATCGCTGTAGTTAATTCACCTCTCGGAGAGGTGGTAGCTAATGACGGAAGAATTCTTCCATCTACCTAGCTGTGCCCACACTAGGGGATAGGGCTTAACTACAGTGTCTGTTGTGAACTTTTCCTACCCCTGAGCAACGTCAGTTTAAAACTTAAGCGTAGGTCAGGCCTCCGTTAAAGTTGGCTCCTGTATGTGAGTGGTTGCACCTCGTCTTGCTGATAGCAAGGCGAAGTTTCTTGGAGGCGGGAGCAGATCTTCTTAAGAAGGTGCCATTTTTATGTAACCATTTTGCCCATATCTGCAGTTAGTCAGAAATGAGGACTGAAAACATACCAGCAAAAATGAGCTTGTATGATGGGGCTGCTTGACAACAACAGAAATCCCCATCTGTGCCATCTGGGATAATGCTTGCTGATTTGATGATAATGGTTACAAACTTGGGGGAGGGAGAGAGCCTGCCTGAATTCCAAAGGTCACAGATCTGATTTGCAGCCACTGCTTCCCCATTCTCTGGCCCACTACGGCAGTGAATGCCTTTTAATTATGCATGAGATAATTAAGTTGATAAAGTCTTGGATCGTTAATCCATGCAGTGCTGAAAGCTGTTTTCAGCATGTAATGATAGCATTTAATGTATTGCTCTGATTATGTCCCCTCTGTATTGTCTGCTTTACCCTGCCTTACCTTCTTCAAATATCAGCTCCTACATAATGTTGCCCTAACCCCTTTTGTCTGATATGTGCAAATGTTTTTGGGGTATTGTATCCACACAACACCTCCTCCTCCCTTCTGCTCCTCATGCACATTCTGCTCTGGGAACTTGCTGTTCAGATTTCTAGTCCCTGCTCTGTTCTCCAGGATTGGGTTCTGAATACAGGGAAGCATAATTACCATATGCCTACTGATACATGAGTTTTCTGGGGGGGGGGGTCCCACCTCTTTTAGTTGCTGCACTGAGGGTGTGAGGGACGCCTCTGCAAACCATGTATCTTTGAGCACATGGGAGAGCTTTAGTCTTGGGAACAGGCAGTGCATTTTGTTCCTCTCTGGCACTGCAGCACACAACGCTGAACAAGCTGGCTTGTCTCTTCAAATCTGATCATTCTGTCTGCGCGCACACTAACACGCTGAGGGAAAGAACCCTATATGTGGTGGTGGTACAGGGCACAAAACATTAAAAAGATTTGATGTCGTTCTGCAGCCTGGGTGTTACTGAAGGCAGGCAGATTAGCTTGACTCAGTGAGCAGTCGGGGCACTCTGGACTGTAATGTATGCAGCTGTTTGTAAGCTGTCGTCCACCTAACCCACTGAGAGACCTAACTCCAGTTTAAGGTTCACAATTTCCATACTGCTTAATATCCCAGACCTCTTGATCTAGATTCCATGAGGTGGTGCCTTAGGAATGCCTGGCAGATGTATTATTCTGGTCATAGCTTATCATGTGGTATATGAATGGCATCTTATTTTTTTTTTCTTTCCTTCCTAGTATTCGTTATGTAACGAGCCTCTGATCGAGCTGTCGAACCCTGGTGCCAGTGGCTCCCTCTTCTATGTCACCAGTGATGACGAGTTCATCATAAAAACTGTGATGCACAAGGAAGCGGAATTCTTACAGAAACTTCTTCCTGGCTACTACATGGTGCGTATCAGGGCTTTGGTTTGTGGGAGAAATGTACAGCTTGCCTGTCCTCAGCACCACAAAGGGTGGTGTTTGGTAACCCAGCAGGGCTTGCTTTGCCTGCCTGCCTAGCGCACATGACAGAATGAACAGCCTATTGTGAAGCCTGATGTGGAAACAAAATTCAGCTCACTTGAAACCTGGAGACAGCTGAGCCATGTCCTGACAAGTAATTGCACCCTCCTCCTGCTTTACTGCTGTTGTGTCCCAGGATAGCAGATTATCATGCCTTAATTGTTGGAGGCCATAAGGGATGAAACTTTCTCCTCCCCTTTGTCTCCTATCAGATGCTCCTTGGTTTGTGAAGGCAGAGTGGGTGCCTTATTGCCCTGCTTTTGTGCAACTCCCAAGCATGTTTGTTTCGGGAGTACCCATCCCTACTATTTCCTGAATTTCCCCTGTGTGTGTGTGCTGCTTAATAGAGATCTGCTTAGCAACGGGCTGTTCTATTGTAGTGGATCCCTGCCGTCAACAGGCCCCTGGTACCAGTCTGTCAGCTGAAGCCTTTGCCTGTATCAGCCCGTGGCTGCAGCCTGGCATTTTCTAACCGACACCAGACTGTGGGTTGCTCTACAGTGCAGCAGCATGGTGGGTTAGCATGGCCGTGCACTGGGGCTCAGCAGAGACTTTCCAGGAGAAGAAAACGAGAGAACCAGAACAGGAACCCACTGTACCAGGGAAAGTGGGTCCCCCCCAGTGGCAGGAAGCATCTCCTCCTACACAGCTGCATCTTAAGGCCCAATTCCTGATAAAAAACTGCATTCGAAAAACCCGAAGCCTGCAAAGGGGAAGCACTGTGCTATGGAAATGCCAGAGCTAAGGTTACCCACACGACCTTCACTCTGCCCCTTGTATGTGTGCATCGTACTAGTCTTTAAATACCCGATGAGCTATATTCCTCAGGATCCCTGCCTCACTCAGAGCACTGCACTGGAACTGGGGAGACCTGAATTCTATTTCTGGCTATCCCACTGGCCTGCTGGGTGACCTTGGCCAAGCCATTTCTGCTCCCAGTGCCTCAGTTTCCCCGTCTGTAAAATGGGTGTGATGATACTTCGCTTTGTAAAGTGCTTTGAGAGGTACTGAAGAAAGAAGCTAGATAAGAGCTAGGAATTATTATTCAGACGCACTTCAGGCACCGAGGCTCCAGAGTGTGACTGAAAATCAATGGCTCACTTTTGAAAATGGGATTTAAGCAGCTAAATCACTGAAGAGCTTTTGAAAATTTGACTCTGTCTGAGCATGTGCAGCACGCTAGGCAGGGCTCCTAGGATTACGACATCTCAAACGAAAGTAGTAATTAGACTCGTCTTGTCCCAGGAACTTTAGATGGTTGGACAATAAAAATAATGATACAGGCTCAAACATGACTTCTCGCCCTGTTGTAAAGCGCTTGTGCTGTTTGCTATTTTGTAAAGTTACACTGTGCTAATTGCTATGAGGGTCTCCCTGCTGCTATCTGAAACTCATCTGAGTTGTAAAATGACCTGAGACAGACAAGACACCAGGGCGGTTGGTGCTGAGTTGCTCTAACTCTGGAAAGTGGAGTTCTGCTTTCAGCTGCTGGCTGGCAGGGGTGGCTTTGTACGGCACTGTATCGACTGACACACTCAGAAAAAAACCTCACTCCTGGGTCTAGTGAGGAAAGATGAGATGAAGGGCATTAAATTTTCATACACTTGCTGTGCTTCTGCTTTCCTTTGTTTTGAAATCTGGCAGGTTCATCTCTTCTCTCATATAGCATGCATAGCTCTTTTTGTTTCCTTTTAAAAGCCTCCCAGCGCTGAACAAGCAAACCGGGTTTGTGATATCATTCCTAATAACATGATTGCCTAAAATGGGCCTGACAGTGGGGTGGCTTAACTGATCTCTCTGGCAGACTGTTTTATAAATTTGACTCTTTCTATTAAAGGTAAGCTGAGACGATAGTATTTCCTGCTGGAGAGGCTTCATAGAGATGTTGTAATACATGTTATGCCACTGGTTTGTTCTGAGCTAGGGAACAGATCATAGTTGTAAGATCTCCAATTGGATGAGGATATTTGATATTTTAAAACTTTAAATTCCCACTAACTAGTGGGGGGGGGGGGTTGGTTAGGTTTCCCTTTCTTTAGCTGCAGTTTGTGGGGAAAGCTGTTTGGGAGTTCCCAAACTTGGCTATTTGCCCAGAGAGAGGTGCAAAATCTTATTTTCTATAGGCAAATCAAGGCATAACAATCTTTCCAGTTTGTAAAGCCAGGTCCTAGGTGAAGCCATTCAAATGGTTAGTTGGAGTTTCTTTGGGATCTTTCTTGTGCGAAGCTGTCAAGGTAAAAATAAATTCTGGATTTGCAAATGCTAGTCTGCAAACCCTTCCCAAAGCCAATCTGAGCTTGAGTTCTGCACTGAACAAAGCAGTTGTTTTTCACAATGGCTCTTTCTAACCTTCCCTTTCTGCCTTCCTTGCCCCACTGCAGAACCTGAACCAGAACCCACGGACCTTGCTGCCAAAATTCTATGGACTGTACTGCGTTCAGTCGGGAGGCAAGAACATTCGGGTGGTGGTGATGAACAATATCCTGCCCCGGGTGGTGAAAATGCACCTCAAATTTGACCTGAAAGGTTCGACCTACAAACGCCGGGCATCCAAGAAGGAGAAGGAGAAATCCAGCCCCACTTTCAAGGACCTGGACTTCATGCAGGACATGCCAGAAGGCCTAATGCTGGACACAGACACCTTCAGTGCACTGGTGAAAACGCTGCAGCGAGACTGCTTGGTAAGGGCAAGGTAAACCTAGAAAGCTGGACTGCCTAACTGTGTAGCTCTCTAGCAGCTGTAACCAACATGGACTGTCCCATGCTTTTATTAGCTCATTAATCTGTAAGCCCCAAAGCCAGCTGTCTCCACCCCAGTTCTCAGCTCACCCAAAAGCAGAGTGCAGTAGTTCGGGCTCATAGTACTCTGCCAGTTTCAGAGAACATTCATTAGTGTCCTACGAAATGTCATAAAACCAAATGACACTTGGGACACAGCTTGCCGTGTGCTGTGGTGTTCTTGGTTCTTCCGATCACATTTGTTCACTGATTCTCCAGTTCACACAATTCAGTCATCCAGAACTGGGTCATTGGGGTGAATTCGTGAACAAGCTTCTACTGTACAGTGTGCAGCAGATGATGGCTCCTTGTGAACTCTGCCATCCCACAACCCACCTAAAAGACAATGGCAAGGGTGTCTGAGATCCGTTAGACCAAGCCCAAAGTATGTTGTGTTGAAACAAAGGGTGATTAACTCTGACGCTCTCTCACGCTGCTGCCTAGGAGTTGTTGGCATGAGTTCTGTGTAACCAGATGGACTGTTCCATGCTTTTGGGTCTGCCTTTGAAGTAGCATGTGAGAACTTACTGGACTGACTGTCTTTTTGTCTGATTTGTTCTTGAACTTGATACTAACCTATAGGTGTTGGAAAGCTTTAAAATCATGGACTACAGCCTGCTGCTCGGGGTGCATAACATAGACCAGCAAGAACGGGAGCGGCAAACTGAGGGAGCCCAGAGCACGTCTGATGAGAAGCGTCCCGTTGGGCAGAAGGCACTTTACTCCACAGCCATGGAGTCCATCCAGGGTGGGGCTGCCCGGGGGGAGTCCATAGATACAGATGACACGTAGGTGAAAACCTGGTTCTCTTGCACTGCTGTAATGGGAGTGGGTGGAAGCAAAAAGCCAACGTAGTAAATCTCTAAAGGTTGCCACCCTGTGCCGTTGGCTTGAACTAGCTGCATGACCCATCTACCCTAAGGAAAATGGAGCGCAGCCACTGATGTATTGTAGCATGGAGTAGTTGGTTGTGAAATGTGGTCATTGTCGTTCTGAAACACTTACCAGTTCCCATTTAGTTATTTACAATGGTCGTGACCATGAATTGCACCTCATCTGGTAGGTAACTGGGCCCTGTACCAGCCTGTAGGCCCAGCACTGGTCTTGGGCGGAGAGATGGGGGCAGGCTTCGCTCAGGAGTGTGGTGATGCAGTGGGGCTACACACTAGACTAGCCCGTGGAGATTAGAGTTCAGTTTCTGCTTGGATCGTGAGACTGTCACTTGGTCCCTGTGGAATCCTAGCAGGCCAGCGTGGTTTGAGGATGTGGCATGTTTAGCAGCACCCGGCCTCTGCTCAGGAGAGATCCAGGCCTGGGCATGTTGGGGTTTGACGGGGAGGCTTGGAAGTGCACAGGTGGAGCTTGCCTAGTGCTTGCTGCACTCTGCCGTGTGCGGCTCTTGCAGCATTTTGGTTTTATGGCTCGGTGGATTGGGCTCACTAACATGGTGGGGTTGCTCCGTTTGTCTGCTGGCATCTGTGCTCTGAGAGACCAGCTGCTCCGTTTTGAACAGTTAGGATTCTGTACAGTTAAAGAGCCAGGAAATACTTTGGTGTTTCCATTCTCTCAAATAACTCTTAATTCCAGTGGACAGCCTGATGTCCGCGTGTCGACTTACCAAGTGCTGATACTAACTGCGCTGCAAATTCAAGATGGGTATTAATGGGCGGGGGTGGGGGGGGCGGTTTGAAAACAAACTTTTGCTTAAAGACTTGGGCCAAGCTTCTGCTTTTATATGCACACAACTCCCACTGACTGATCCAGGGCTTGTGCCATCTGTACTCGTGAGCAGTCTGGCCCTTACAATAAAAGGGGGCGTTATGCCCTAGGGTTCTCAAAGCATTTTGCCTGCGAAGGGCACGCCGAAGACTTACCTAACCACTGCTGTAGGGAGCAGCTGGTGTGTGGTGGGTGCTAACACCCAGTCTTAAATGTCAGAACGTATATTTTTGGGAGAAGGGGATGTTTGCCCGGATGTCTCCTTGAAGTACCACAGGCGTCTTAATGTCCTCCTAGGTTGCCACTAGCGACTGGCAGAAAGCTGCTAGCTTAGTGTATCTGAAGGGTGCATTTCACATGTGGCACTGCAGCTGGTTCTTTACGTCTAGCTTCTGAGTATGAACCCATGTCCTGCTGTAGGACAGGAACCCTGGGGTGTCTGGCCCAGGTAGGAGAGAGCAGTCCCCTGATTCATAATAAACCTTAGCACTGTGTATGGTCAAGTGCTGTACCAAGGTTGACTCATAGAACACCACCTTCCAGTCAGACAGAAAAATGCATGACTCCACAGGTACTGTATCTTCTAATGAAAGCTGTTGCACCAGAGTCAACGTGATTAACCACAAGATTGTCCCCCCGATAATGTGGATATCTGTCTTTCCACTCTGACATACAGCACAAGTAACGTAGGGCATCTCTGAGTTGGTGTGACAATGTTTTCTTTTCTTCAGAATGGGAGGAATCCCAGCCGTGAATGGCAAAGGAGAGCACCTCCTGCTGCACGTCGGAATAATAGATATCCTTCAGTCCTACAGGTAAGGGGGCTTGAGCATCCTCGGACTCCTGAGCCTCTATAAAACCTGGTTTCAATACTGTATGGAGAGAGATGAAAGCCTGCCTTTGAGACGACCGTCTCCGAGAGCAAGTATCCCAATCTGTCTCACATTGATCACTGCATATTTGAAAGCTGTGGGTTTTTATCTTGAAGCTCTTATCTCAGCCAATGGTGCTGAATCTGCTTTCCTTAAAGAAAAGTCTCCCCTTTCTGGAGGGGTAGTACCATGTGTAGGGGAGTAGTTCTTGTGCCCCTCCCACCTCCAATGTTTCCAGGGAGTCTTGACCTTCCAGCTCCTGAGACCTAGAAATCTCTGCTTCAGAGGCATCAGTGCAGCTGTCTTGGAGAGAGGAAAGCTGTGCTCTGAGAACGGGAAGGAATATTAGCAGCTCTCTGTCCTCTGCTGTGAAAGGTGGTCTGGCCAGGGCGAGGAGGGCAAACCTGTGTCCAACACTCTCTCTCTCAAAATTAGGTTCATCAAGAAGCTAGAACATACTTGGAAGGCCCTTGTCCATGATGGGGTGAGTATTCAACACACACAGCCCTGGGTGAGAAATGCTGTCAGCAAGCTGTGGTCTGCAGGGGTACTGACATTGCTTTCTTGTATGCAGTTTGGTGCCATTTACCTTGCTGTTTGTAGTCTCTCCGCGGGTACAGCTTACATCCAATGGAAAGGAGGAATTCTTCACGCCTATACGCTTGGGGCAGTGGAATGGTACTTCCATTCAGGTTCCCTTAGCTCGGCCCACTTCCTCAACCGTTTAGCTGTCAGACCTCAAGTTTCGGTCCTCTGTCTTTGTATTGTCCTAGGGACCTTTGTACTGGCACAGAGCACTGGGTGATGTGTTCGTAGTTCCACCCGGGTGAATTATCTACTAACGAGGAGTCACTTTCTACTTGTTTTCCTCTGCCATTCCAATGTGTTCCACAGCAGCAAGTTGTGCTGCTGCAAAATTGACTTCAGGTGGGAGATGACTTGCTCTTCAGAAACGCACATCGTATTTCTATAAAATGCCTTTGCCTCATTTACAGAAGCCGGTGGTTACGGAAGCAGAAGAGAACATCAAAGCTGTCAGAGCCAGTTTCCGCTTTAGTACACAAAATGAAATGCACAGTACAACTAAAATGCAGTGATGCTGTATTGCTGAATGTTGGTGACCATGTCCAATTCCACTGTATCCAAGTGTGCTTTGAACAGCAACAAACAAAGCCGGGGGACTCTCTTGTATGAAATAAGGTCATTTGCTTCCTCCAAAAATCTAGGTACCCTCTAAGCAGCAGAATCACCAGCCCAACGTAATACACTGAGAACCTCATCAAAATGCAGTCAAATCAAAGGCCATGCTGCAAGCATATTTATAGTGTTAAGATGGAAAGGCTTGCCTGAAATGAGGTGCTTACGGTGCTGGCAGTGGAATAGACGACTCGCTGGGCAGTGCTGATAAGGAGAGAGATTTTAAGCATAATGTTGATCACCTCTCCTGTTTCTAGGACACGGTCTCAGTGCACAGACCCAGCTTCTATGCAGAGAGATTCTTCAAATTCATGACCAACACAGTGTTCCGAAAGAATTCCTGTAAGTGTCTGCAGCCTCGCTATCCTGGGGCACCCGCTGGGACCACCTCCCTTTGGGATGGGCAGGCAGCCTTCTCCTCCCCCATGTCCCCTGACCCTGCTAGGAGGGAAGACCTTGACTGAATGCTCTGCCGTACTAAAGTAGCCCTGCTGCTTCCGATCTCCCTGCTCCCACTCCTTTGCATGAGTGTTTTGAGTTCTCCTGACACCTGTATGTATAACCACCGTTGCACAGTTCTCTTGGTGCCCTTGTGTCAGTATATAGCAGTGGTTCTCAAACTTTTGTACTGGTGACCCCTTTCACGTAGCAAGCCTCTGAATGAGAACCCCCCCCCTTTATAAATTAAAAACTCTTTTTATATATTTAACACCATTATAAATGCTGGAGGCAAAGCAGGGTTTGGGGTGGAGGCTGACAGCTTGCGACCTCCCCCCCATGTAATAACCTTGTGACCCCCAGTTTGAGAACCCCTGGTATATAGAGTTCTTAAAGCAGGTGTGTAGGAATCCGAGAATGCCATGCCTCAGGACATCCGTGAGAGGGCATGATTGGCAAATGCTTGCCAAGAGGAACTCGTATTTCTCCTGTCAACCTTCCTTATGTGAGCTAACGATGTGGGGAAACTGGGCTCTCCCCACAGCAGGCCTGGCCTAAGCTAGGAAATTGCAATGGCCAGGAAGCTGGAGCTCACTGCAGTTTGGAGCTGATCAAACTTCCTAACTGACGTGCCTGATTCAGAGCTGGAAGCTCTTTAGGCAAACGGTATCAACAGCCCACAGCTAGTCCTTCTGTTGCTGTGTTGTGCGGATGTTCATCCAAGGGGCGGGATGGTTTCTCTAGTGTCCAGTCAGTGAGTGTGGCTTGTGGTCTCATCTCCTTAACTCTTCTGGCTGCAGCTCTGAAATCGTCTCCATCTAAGAAAGGACGTAGTGCCTTGTTAGCTGTCAAGATGCCTGGCCCAACAGCTGCATTTTCAGCTAGCCAGATCCCCTCGGAGAGGGATGAAGCCCAGTATGATCTCCGAGCCGCCAGGAGTTACCCCACGTTGGACGACGAAGGTAACGGTTGTGGTGGTTTTGGCTGCCCTGTGGCTATTCTCTCCCCCTAGGTGTGTAGCTGTTCCTTAGCATCCTCCCCTGTACTCATTCAGTTTCCCTCACTGTGCACCAAATATGCGTTTCCCTGGATCAACCGCTCTTCATTCCATTTCTTGCTGTGCTTTGCAGGTGCTAAACTTAACCAGGACAGGGGGGAAGGTAAGAGAATATTGCTTTGGCATAGTATTAGGAACAAGTATATGGCTAAGCAGCGCCAGTGGCTCTGAAGAGGGTGGAGTCCCTTCCCTCCACTTCTGGAGAGAGCCAGCACCTTAGGGGTTCTGTGTAAAAATGGTAATTGACATCACTGCTGCAAGGTGCCCACTGCTAGTTGGCACTCGCAGTGATGACAGGGACAGTCCAGACACCATGGAAACGCTGTTGGCTTGTTGACCATCTCGCTGTTAGTGAGAAGAGAACTGGGGCTACATGGGGACGTGGAACCCAATTCCATTGGTGCTCAGGTACTGCTGTACAGTACAAGACTTGGCCTTTGCCAGGAGAAAGCTGGGTCTGATTCTCCACAGCCTTGCGTCACGTACATCTGTGCTACTTTTACCAGTTCTGAATGGTAAAAGGCAGTGGCCAGCCGGGCCCATAAATGTTACATCTTTACAGCATAGTTGGGTGAAACGCTGAGGGCTCCGTTCATCGTCTGAGCATACGGGGGTATTGATCTGACAGTCTGAGCCCAAAGCCAGCTGGGTACGAGCGAGGAAGCTTTCCGTGGTCCTGGCCCCGTATTGCAATGACAGGTTTCAGCCAGGAGGCTCCGTACTGGTGGAGTTGGGAGTGAAGCTCCGTGGCAGGGCTGTGCTGAGCCCTCACCTAGCTCAAGTCAGCGCTGTCAGTCCACCCCCAAACACCTCCGCAGGTGCACAGCATTTCAGACTGCCCACTGCCTGTGGGGTGTGGATCCCAGTGGTGGTACAGCAGACTGACATGGCTTCAGCGGCTGGCTGGAGACAGGCCAGTGTTGCTTGTATTTAACTCCTTCAGCCTGTTTTTTCCTGTCGTCTTTCTGCTCTTGGTCTTGGGCATAGCAGGAAGGCCAGACCTGCTACCCTGCACTCCCCCTTCCTTCGAAGAAGCAACCACAGCCTCCATAGCAACGACGCTCTCTTCAACGTCGCTCTCTGTTCCTGAGCGGTCTCCCTCGGAGACCTCTGAGCAGCCCAGGTACAGGTAAGGATGGTGTTCTCAATCTGGTTATCCTAGAGCTAGCTGACTGGGGTTAGCCTCTGCCCTACAAATCAGCGGCGTATGCTGCGCTCTGCCATGGAGTGCGACCAGCTGATTTTAATTAAACCGCTCCCGGGAGTGAGGAACGTGCTTTCGGGATTAATTATTGCTGTCAAGTAGAACAGCCCCTTCAGGGAAGGCTTTTTTTTTTGTTTTGTTTTGTTTTAAATCCCCCCACTCAGATAAACTTGGTTTTTGGTTTGTCTCCGCAGGAGGCGCACACACTCCTCAGGGCAGGATGGCAGGTAAGACGTCCTTTCGTTCTCTAGAAACGTGTCCAGAAATCCCCCTCAACTGTCTGGGCTGAGTAAAAGCAACCACAGTGCCAAGGCCTGTACACCACTTCAGGCCTATTTTGAGAGCTAAAGTGGGATTTCAGTGGTGCATAGACTTTGTGCTGGGCCCCTTCTGCAGAGACGAATGAATTTCTCCCTCTGTGATCTTAAATAATAGTCCCCAGCTCTTATCTAGCAGTTCTCGTCAGTAGATCTCATAGCACTTTACAAGGGAGGTCAGTATCATTACCCCTATCTTACAGATGGGGAAACTGAGGCCCCAGGAGGTGAATGGACTTGCCCAAGGTCACCCTGAAGTTAGTGGCAGAGCTGCCCAGGTGGATAGAAAGCTGGCTAGATCATCAGGCTTCAACGGGTAGTGATCAATGGCGCCATGTCTAGTTGGCAGCCGGTATCAAGCAGAGTGCCCCAAAGGTCGGTCCTGGGGCCGGTTTTGTTCAATATCTTCATTAATGATTTGGAGGATGGCATGGATTGCACCCTCAGCAAGTTTGCAGATGACACTAAACTGGGAGGAGTGGTAGATACGCTGGAAGGTAGGGATAGGATACAGAGGGACCTAGACAAATTGGAGGATTGGGCCAAAAGAAATCTGATGAGGTTCAACAAGGACAAGTGCAGAGTCCTGCACTTAGGACGGAAGAATCCCGTGAACTGCAAAGACTAGGGACTGAGTGGCTAGGCAGCAGTTCTGCAAAAAAGGACCTAGGGGTTTCAGTGGATGGGAAGCTGGGTATTAGTCAACAGTGTGCCCTTGTTGCCAAGAAGGCTAACGGCATTTGGGGCTGTATAAGTAGGGGCATTGCCAGCAGATCGAGGGATGTGATCATTCCCCTCTATTCGTCATTGGTGAGGCCTCATCTGGAGTACTGTGTCCAGTTTTGGGCCCCACACTACAAGAAGGATGTGGAAAAATTGGAAAGAGTCCAGTGGAGGGCAACAAAAATGATTAGGGGGCTGGAGCACATGACTTATGAGGAGAGGCTGAGGGAACTGGGATTATTTAGTCTGCAGAGGAGAAGAGTGAGGGGGGATTTAATAGCTGCTTTCAACTACCTGAAAGGGGGTTCCAAAGAGGATGGATCTAGACTGTTCTCAGTGGTGGCAGATGACCGAACAAGAAGTAATGGTCTCAAATTGCAGTGGGGGAGGTTTAGGTAGGATATGAGGAAAAACTTTTTCACTAGGAGGGTGGTGAAGCACTGGAATGGGTTACCTAGGGAGGTGGTGGAATCTCCTTCATTGGAGGTTTTTAAGGTCAGGCTTGACAAAGCCCTGGCTGGGATGATTTAGTTGGGGATTGGTCCTGCTTTGAGCAGGGGGTTGGACTAGATGACCTCCTGAGGTCCCTTCCAACCATGATATTCTATGATTGATCCTGGTCTGGTGCCCTAGTCACTGAAAGGCAGGCATATCCCTCTTGCGTGCAATCTGTTGTCTCCGTACAGTGGTGCTAGTTGCTGTCTGGTTTTCAAGAGATACTGAGCGCCCCCAGCTCCCACCGATGTACACTGGGAGCGGTGCTCACTCTCAGCATTTCTGGGAGTTCAGCCCTCTGCTCTTCCAGTGGGGTGTGGCGGGGAGCTGCTGGCAAAGTGGGCAGAATTCCCCTGTTCCTCAGAGGATACCTTTATTCTAAGATCTTTCTTTGGACACTAATATCCTAAATTATTCTGGAATATTCTCACACCAATAACACTGGCAGCAGTGTCTGCATGCTGGAGCAGAAGAATCAGAGTCAGGACTCCTGAGTTCTGTTGCCAGCTCTGCCCCAAACTTGCTGTGATCCCTTGAGCAAGTCAGAGGCCAACATTTCCAAATACTGCCTCTGATCCTGGGGCCTTCAGGTTTTGGGTGCCCAACGCTCCATAGGAAGTGCCAGCCTGGATTAGACCCCAGGTCCATCCAAGCCAGTGTTCTTTCGCTGACAGTTGACAGCAACCAGATTGGCTTGGTCCAGAGCACACGGTTTTATCAGTCCCTCCCCAAGTTTATCATTCATTCGAACAGCTCTGGATGTTTTTGTTATCTATATAAATGTCCAGTCCCACTTGCAATCTTGTCTTGGTCTTGCTAGTGGCCCAGGGCTGTGGACCCACACCCACAGCTGAAGTAAGGGGGAGCTGTCGGGTACTCGACCCTTCTGAAAATCATACTTGAGATGTCGAATGACTTGGCACCTGAAAACTGGCAACTTGATGGGAAACTCTTTTGAAAATGTGGGCCCTTCCCTCTGTGCCTCAGTGGGACTTATGCCCATATACATTATTCATACAGGGGCTGAGGCTTAATGTTTGTGTGGAGAGCCCTTTGAGATCCTCTAAAAGTGCTGCAAGTACAAATTTATTAATACATGCTCAGAAAACGACAGGGACCGTACCCAGTTTGTTGAGGTTCTCTGTGTGCTGTATCTGGAGAATTCGCTCCCAAGCTGAGTCCCATAGATCTATAGGAGAGCTCCCCCTGCTGGCTATGCAGTGTCCACTCCCTGACTAGCACTTCTCCAGGCACTGTGCTTTGCACAAGCACTGTCAAGTGAGCAAACGGGGGGAGTGGCGATATCTTCAGGTATCTCTTACAAATCCAGGACTGTGTAAATAACTTTCTTCCCCAGCTGATTGTGTCCTTCACTTGGCCAACATTGACCCCTCCCACGAAGACCATCGAACGAATAATCTACTCCAAGGCCATGTCTATTCTGCAGGGACCATAGCAGCATAGCTATGCCAGCATAAATCCGTAGTGTAGATGCAGCCTACAACAGCAGAAGGGGCTTTTCCATCATGGTAGGACCACCTCCTCCCCAAGTGATGGTAGCTATATCTTCCATTGACCTAGCTGTGTTTACACCGGAACGAGGTTGGCATAGCTTCAGTGCTCATGGCTGTGTGTGGGGAGGCGACGTTTGTTTGGTTTAGTTGTTTTTTTTTTTTCCTCCACACCCCTGACTGGTGTAGCTATGTGTAGACCAGGCCTAAGCTTCTCTAAAATAGGCAGTCACTTTAATATTATTATTATGAGCTGGGTGAAACCTCATTATGGGTTGAGTTAAAACCTTATTGAGATTGATAGGTGTGAATGCATCCTTCAATTAACAGATCTGTAAGGATAAGCCCCCACCTAGGACAAAAAGAGTGTGTGAACCCCCCAGGAGGTTTGTTGCTGATGTTTTGTGGGGCAGGGGAAAGCAGAACACTGGGGACCAGAGAAACACAGACAGCAGGAAGGAGCAGCTGAAAGTACCATGTCTGACCCTGGAAGAAACTTGGGGAGAGGGATTCGGGCCAGAGGTGCAGGCTGAAAAGAGTGTTCTTGGTGCTGTGTGCAAAAGAAACTGTTTCCTGGTATTTGATTCCTTCTGTGTTCAGAGACACAGGACTTTATATATTCTCTGTAAAGAAAGTCAGGGTGTTTCTTTGCTGCAGTTTTCTATCACCAATTGCTGTTCCCAACTGGAATGTCCCCATCACCCCACACTGTGACTAGCCACTTGGATTGAAAAGGGGCAACGGTACCATAACATATGAAACAGCAGACAATCCACAGACACACAGCTCTCCCTAGGGTTACAGGTGTATAATTTAGTCTGGACTACGTCATTCACCTTTAGTACCTGTGCACATCTTTGCGTGGCAGGAAACACAGAAGTGGGCAAGGAGCTTCAGCACACCTGGAGTGTTGATAATGCAGCGTGAGTCAGCTGTGCAGCTCCTCCCTCCATCCCACCTTCCTCTGCTTTCCTCACCTACAGCAGGCAGCTTCCTGCTGCTAGCCATCCTGAGATAAAGCAGGGTCTCCTGATGTCAGCTGGCCTGCTCCAGCTAATCCTGCTGCCCCCGTTCTCTCCTCCCCGGCCACAGAACTTGGAAGGGATTGACCCTCTGGGCTGAGAAGTTAGGCTGTCAAAAACGGTTGTCCCAAGGACCAGACACTAGGAGATTCTGACTGCAAGAGCTAATGTAGCTGTGTTACACGTGTACTGTGCAACTGCCCGTGGGTGGCGTGCTGGCCACGTCTGGTGCAAAAAGCTGCCATTTGCCACATCCAGTCTAGGACTGCTGCAGTACGTGAGGCTATTGCTTTTCTGCCTAAAGCAGACTGGCGGTGCTCTGGTATTGGAGAACCTGAGAACTGGGGTGGAAGAGACCATGTTAAACAGAGCAGATAGGCTTGTGTACCTTTGGCTTTGCAGGTCTCACGAGGAGGTTCGGGTTGAAGAGGAACTCCAGCAGATAACCGTAGAGCTGGAAAGCAAATGTGACGTTGAGATCATCGCTCCTGAGGAAGACGACAAAGGGCAAGTGTCAATGTGGAAAATACAGGAGTCGCTGTTGGCATTGGCCATGAAGAAATGCTAATTCCTGCTTCAGCGCAGCTCCTCCAGGTGCTGGCCAGCCTATGGCACTCTTGGGCCTGGAAGGGGCTGATGTCTCCATCTCAGCTTTGAGATGCATGAGGACTGATTTGCTCTGGGTACCAAACTTCCAAAAGCGTAGGTGCCTCACCCAGGGTGCTGAGTGATTCTGCTTCTAACCCCACATTGATCTGCGCCTTAGCGCTGGGGAGTAGTGCTGGTGTCCAGATTTGCAGTCTCCTGACCCCTTCAGCTCCCCTGTAGTAAATCAGATTAGCTCCATCCTTTTTTGATAAAGGAAGCTGGCCTCATGTTCTTTGCTTCTTACCCAGGGAGGCAGCCTCTTCAGCCTGTGCCATTGCAACAGCCACAGCTACAATCGAAGTGGAAACAGCCAGCCAGGCCTCGGAACCAGCCAGCCAGGCTTCAGATGAAGATGATGTGCCAGTCGCAGACATATACTTTGTAAGATATTCTATCTGCTTAATCCATTTTACACCCGTAAAGTGTGAGGTACCAAAGCAGCAGATGAAGGAAAACAGTCTAACCTGGGTAATGCATGTCCTGTGGATCTGAAACACGTGGCTGTCAGTCGCCTGTGCACTCCTTGGTTAGATGGAAAGGTTTTAAATCACAGTAACTTCAGTTTCACCCTTTGCTAACTCAAATATAGCATGTGCTCAAGCACAGGAGATAGCTATGCCTTGCTATTTCAATGTACATTGTAGACATGCCTGTCCACCACATGAGCGACTTTGCTACCTACATGCACAAGTCTCTGATGGGCTTAAACAAGCCAGCTCTCCGTATCTGGGAATCTATCGCATTGAGCGTACAGTTACCCTGTGAGTTCTCTTTCCTCCCCACAGAGCAGAATTCATTGTTTCTCTCCCTGAAAAGAGGAGGCTTCAGATCCTATTCTTTCCTCGCAGCCTCCTGGAGACAGGACAGGAAGTTACTGTGCTGGCTGACCTCAGAGGTCTGTGATGAACTCTGGTTTTTCCTTTCCCTGCAGGCAGATGCGTTAGATGGTGCAGTGGAAATCTAGTACTGAGGCAGGGAGTAAGTGAGGTGGTTGCCGGGTTGGCAGCAGAGTGCGGAGTATCTCTGAGCTGTATCCCTCCATCAGCTCTCGCAATGTCTGAGCACCTGCTGGAGACTTGAGAGAGAGGAGACTTCTAGCAACGTGTATCTCCTCTCTGAACTACCAAAGGCCAACAAGGAGAGGTGGAGGCACACTGCCTGCTGACACCTTCAGCCTTGCATTGATGCTAGTTTTGGCTTCAGTGGAGTTACAGCAGCGAGGAGCTGTGTCCTGCAATTTGGCACTTCCATAGAAACTGAGATCACCCTAAAGTGGGTACCTCAAACACCGCATATCCTAGAGCATTCGTGCATCACATTGTGGCTTTCCTTGTGCTCATGTGACTCCACTGCAGAATTGCTCATTCATTGCTGAGTAATTTGGACAGCTCCAGGGAGCTGCAGGAGGAATTGGCTCAGTTTTAAAAGCTTGTCTGTTTTGGTTTTCTCTGCATGTGATTCAAAATGCAAACAGCTTTCCCTAACATTTGCTGCTCTTTATTTGCCTGTGGATGGCAGCTGAGTGTGAGCTGCCTTCTGGTAACTGCCCTTCTCATTGGGAAGTGCCTTCTAGTGAGGTTCAACCCCCCCTCTATCCCCCCACCACCTGGCCATAGACAAGCCTGTTGGGACGGATGGGTTGGTGTGCTGTGCCTAGCCGTGTGCACAAATCTTGTAACCCATCATCAGCATTTCATACCTCTCTGAGCCCTCTGGCTTTGCGTTGCCGTGTGTAGCGTGCTGTGCTGTGTCTCTCCGAGCTACTGAGGTGAAGGGAAATGCACCGAGTTTTAGTCCCCGCTGGCTCTCACCTAGGAAAACGGCTTAAGCGGCAGCTCAAGCGAGCAGCCGAGCATGATGCAGGTTAGGACTGGCTGCCCTCTCCAATAGCTAGCTGCATTCTGGGGGTAATCTGAAGGGATGCTTGGACCAGAGGAGAAGTCACTGAGTTGCAAGGGAGCATGAACTCCCCTTTGGGGGAGATCTGCTTTCCAGTGCTTAAAGCAGCAACAGCGGGGGGGTGGGGATGCACTTGGTCTCCCTACTCGCTGCAGGGGACTAGAGGCGCAGAGCAGCGTGGCTGGGCATGGGGCTCGGCTGTTCCCCGCATGGCTCCCCTGTCAGACCTGGAGATGCCCAGCCCCTTGGTTGCTTTCACTTCATCCTTTCTCCTCTGTTTCCTTTCTCACCTCACTTGCCCTGGTGCCATCCAGTTCACAGATGGGAGGTACTGGATTTACTCTCCCCGCCAGCGCAGACTCCGAGCCGCCTCGTTTTCCTCTGGGACTGTAAGTGAACACGCTAGCACGCAAGGGAGCCAGCCTGCAGCTTTGAAACACTGGGGTCAAGCAAAGGCCGAGTGGTTCCCTCTCTCCTGGATGCCCCAGGGCCTAGTTCTGTTTTGTGAGGTGTAGATACAGCCTGCATGGGCAGCAAGCCCCTGATTAGTGAGGAGTTACCCTCTACAACCTCCTTCCAAAGATATCCCATGAACCCCTGCTCGTGGAGCTGATTGTGAGAGTCTCCCTCCTTCCTGCCCCCCTTTTTCTAGGCCAGTTATGAAATTGACTGAATTTAGCCAAGTGCTTTATCATTACCCTTTGTGCCAGCATGTTTGGCAACATCTGCCATTAACTTAACATGGCCCCATATTTACGTGTCATGCTGGGCCGAGTCCTCCTGGTAGCCACGTAGGCTGGAACGCCAAAGCTGGATTCCAGGAAGACATCACTCGGACGGTATGAAGCTGAGGATAAAATCCAGCTACAAACACAGCCCTTAGGACCCTGGCTGATTTCCAGGTGTCTAATGCACTGACCAGTTTCTACAGCTTAGAGGCTTTAAGAGGGAAACTGCTGGGGACTCCAGCCTAGGGTGAAGTGCCTTCCCTGCCTTCAGCGGGCTGTGACCTTGGCAGAATCACTTCACCTTTTCCCCATTTATAAACTTGGGATAATTGTTCCCCTTCCAAAGCGTCTGTCCAAGGGACTGTTTAATGGGTGGTGGTATTCCCAGCCCCTCCTCTGCCGTGGGGGAGGCTGGGGGCACTAAGCAGACCGGATGTAGGTGACGAGCAATGTGCAAACTGGCCCTGGTGAGATGTGGGGAGCCAGAGAGAGTTGAGAGAGAATCGTTAATCTCTTCTCCCTCACACCCGTTTTGCCCCCATTTACTGTAGTAAGAAGTCCCAGCACTGAGGGGGTTAACTCGAGCCCAGACTCTGAATGCTTCTTCTCTCTGTCACCACACAGCACAGACCCACTTCTGTAGCAGCTGTCACTAGACACCTGCTTCTGGTGCTCATGAAAGGCGTGGAAGGTGGGTGGTGGAGTTCAGGGCTCACTCCGCCAGAGCAGTAATGGGGAATGAAGGATCAGGAGCAGGGTGGGCTCTGTGCAGTGGGAAGGGGCTCCAGGGGCTCTAGCACAGCACTTCAAGCTTCAGCTCTGGATTCTGGTGCCCCCTCCCAGCAGCTCCGTGTTGGCGGAACCTGCCATTATCCGTGGAGTTCAGGGTAGCAGACCTCCCCCACCCCCGCCCCCAGTGCTCCAAAGCTCGACTGGCTGGTTGTAGCTGTACGTCGTAGACTCAGTGCCAACCCTGCTTCCTTTACCTCATGCCTTCAAACACCACTGCGGGAAACCAGACTGACTGGCGATGAAAGTGTCTCCCCCTTGAACTGTGCCTTGCCTTGCATTCGAGTGCAAGTCTCTCCCTGCTCATCTGGAAGCGGAAGCACATTTCTGTTGCATTAATGCGGTTCTGGGGTAGCTAAGTCCCTGGATCCTTCCCCAAAACAATCCAGTTCTGTGTTGCCTCCTTTGTCATCCCCAGTCCCTGTTCTCCATTTCCCTGCTGTTTCCAATTGATGACTAACCAGCTCCTCTTCATGGTCCAACATGATCTAACCCTGCACTTCCACCGCCTTGCTTGGCACATCAGCACGAGGGGGATACAGATATTGCCGGTTTTGGCATAAAAGCTCCCTTAACTTGAAAGTGACAGTAACATCCAGCATATGCAGATACGACTGCAGCTGAAGGTGTGGGGAAAGGAATGGTCTTGTGGGTAAAATGCAGCACTGGGAGTCCAGAGATCTGGGGTCTAATTCCAGCTCTGCCACTGACCTGCTGTGGGACTTAGGCAAGTCACTTAGCTTTTTGTGCCTCGGTTCCCCATCTGTCATTGGGGCTGGCCTTGCAGGAGCTTTGAGGCTTAATTAATGCCTTGAAAGCTCTTTGAGATGCTCACATGGAAGGTGCCATGGAAGAGGAAAGTGTTGCCCTCTGCCCTGCAGCTGAACAGAGATGTCCATTTTAGCAGCGCTGCTAGTGGCTCTCCCAGCCGTTGTTAGGGGCTCAGGTACGTATTGAGGATGAGGAAGGCTCCTTTGCTGAAGTCTCGTAAGATCAGTTCTCTTCCTCCGGGTGTACAGCTGTTCTTACTGTATTTTCCTGCTCTCTCTATTTTCTCCTCTTCTCTCCCTCACTCCCTGCTCTGCTGCTGCTCTTCTTGCACTGTCTCTGCTGTCTCTGGCCACTCTGGCAGCCTACAGACGAGAGGAGTTGGGTTTACTCCCCCCTCCACTATAGCACTCAAGTCCACTCTGTCTCCGATGAGGAGAGCGATACAGTAAGTGTTCAAGAAAGCTTTGATGGGCGCCCAGAGGGGCGAGCTCTGAATGTGGGCTGCGGTGCCAGCATGAGGTTCGGAGCTCTGGGCCTTGGCTTGGCTTCTGCAGCGGGTGGCACTTGCATGGCTGGGGTAGTCCTGCTGCATCTTAGATCGGCTCTTCGGCAGCAGGCAAGAGCTGCTGTGTAGCCAGGAACAAGGTTCACCTTGACGACACTCCTGGTTGTTCTGTTGAATCGTTTCTAGTACAATCAGACCTCAGATCTAAATTGTCCTGTTACCTGAGGGCACAGAGTGAGCATGTATAGAGGACTTAGCAAAGTGTGACGCTCACTGAAATCAGCATGGCCTGCTAACCCCTCCTCCTTGCCTCTTCCAGTAATCTCTATGCAGACACTGAAGACCCAGAGAGCAGCGTTTCCCTCTGCAGGTTGATGTGTTCCCTTTCGTTGACACAGTCGTTCTGATGGGATGGGGAAGCGCTTGCTGCACTGCTGGATCTGGGCACCGCGTTCCAGGCTGGAGCGAAACGCTCTCTAAACGTGTATTTATACCTATCCGAGACACGGACAGCAAAGAACCTCCCACCCAGAGCGCCTGCATAAAGCAGGCTGTAAAGAGGCCTGGGTAGTGACTGTTCCCAAACAGGCACCACTGCAGCTACCTACCCGTGTGGGATACTGTGAACCTTTTTCATTTTTAATTATGTATTTATTTCTTTTATCGTTGCACAGACACTGCACAAATGTGCTTTTTTTTAAACATTTAGTTTACTGCACTTTCTTTGGTTGTCCTATTCTATGTATGTGCTTCATCAAGAGTGTGAAACCTCACAGGAGATAGAGAACAAATCTTCACTGGGGGGTGGGGGGGTGGGAGTCTGAGGAGGGCAGGACCAGTCCTAGCTTCACTGATGAGGAGGCAATGTGGTCTAACCCCCAGACAACAGGAGTCCAGACTCCGTGTGACCTTGGGCAAGTCACTTAGCCACTCTGTGCCTCAGTTTCCACATGTGTGACTGCGGGTAATACCCACCTTTGTCAAAGCACTTGAACCCTCAGATGAAAGGTGCTATGTAAATGCAATGTATTCGAGGCCAGTGACGTAACGAGAATCGTTCCTGTATTAAAGCATGCCACTTGAGCTGAATTTAGAAATTGCTAGTGACCTCTACAATTAACTTGCTGATCTATATGGGAGAAGCAAAAACACCCCTGGCTGTAATGACATGGCTTCTTGGCCTGGCTCTCATCTGGGCGTTGGAGAGGGTGGGGCTCTGCCTTCACCATGAACTGTGCTGCTCAGTGGTGGGCTGGAGATCTGCTCTGATTTGCTGGCAGACTGATATTCTGGAAGACTGCTGCCTCGGCCATGGGGCATGGAAGGAGGAGAATTGTGTGACCTGCAGCTGGGCATTGCAGGCTATTGAAGTCACTTAGCAGCAGCATGTTCATGACTCTATCTGATGCTTAAGCGAGTGAGGGTATCAGAGGTTCACGTGCATCCCTCCTTCATAGCTGAAACCGACACCCCACCCTTCCCCCATATTGAAGGAAGTCAGAGAAGCCCAGCTGGAAGAGTCTGTATTGGGCACGTGACACACATGCTATTGACGCACAGCCCGGGGAGACCAGCTGTGTGATGTGGCCCCTGAGTCTCTGAGGTGGATAGCGCTGCTCTGGGCTCGAGAGGTGTCTTTGCAGGCTGCAGTCTTTAGACCAGACAAGATTTGGCTTCACTTAACCATGAAATGGCACAAAGCAGTGACCCGGTGTTGACTTCAAGTTCCTCCTTGTGAGTGTAGGATACTGCAGCTGTAGGTCCTGACTTCTGTAGCGATCGCATCTCCTTTCCCATGAATTAGAAAGTCTTGCGTGCAGAGAGGGCTTGGGTGTGTCTCTGTCCTCCTCGGACTCTAGTGTAAAGTGAGGGGTAAAGATCACTTTTTAATGCTGTTACATTCTTCAAACCTCTGTTCTCAAGCTTCCCTGTGCAGTAGCAGTGAGAGGACAGCCCCAGTCTACAGGCCAAGCACTGAGGAACTGGTACCACGGTCTGTCCTGGCAGCACTCGGGACATATTGGGGAGGCAGGTTGGGTCGGTGGGAGTGTCGAAGCTTTTTCCCCAGGAGCTGCCACTGCTCTGAGGATCTTCCGCCAATGACTTTCTCTTTAAATACTCGGAGCCTGAATTTTCAATCCCTGCCCTGCAGAGGCTGAAGACTTGCACTCCCAATGTGTGCTGGGCTTCATAGGAACCATTACGCTGTTTGAGCTTCTCCTTTATTGGTCTAGAATATCCTTTCTTTGGAACTCATGTGGGTTTAAAAGAACCCCTCTTCTCTCCTTAACAGCTGTGAAAACAAAGATGCTGCCATTACATCCATGAGTCAGGTGGCGAATCTGCTACAGAACTCTGGCAGGTTCCCAAAAGCTTTCTCAGAATCCTACATAGCCCCTTCTGTCCTTACGCACAGGTATAGCTACCATCATTTGGGCATTTGGTGGTATGTAGTGCTCAGCCCAGGCCCACCCGGCAGTCTCCTCTCCAAAGAGGAGGCTGGGCGACGGAGCTAGGCAGGTGAACAATGCATAGACTCTGCTACTGCTGAGTGCTAAAGGCAGAAGATTTCAGAACACAGCTAAACGTACAGCGTGACTTTTCAGAAGCACTGAGCAGCTCCAAGCGCAAAGGAAGCCAGTGGGAGCTGCAGCTGCTCAGCCCTGTGACAACCAAGCCCTTGATTTCAACATCGAGTAAACTAGGCTTTGGGAGGAGCGATGAAGATGGGCTAGGCCCATCTCTGACCAGCATTGCAGGGCTCTGAAAGGAAGCTGCTTCCTTCCTGGTAATCAAATCCTTAGCCTTATGCCTTTAGAAGAAGATGCTGAAGTTTGGCACTTCTGATTGCCCAAGAATAAAGAGCAGGATTTTATTACTTTCAACCATTTGGAAGCTCTCTGATCTGTTTATCCAATACACCTACTCCAGTCAGTATCTCTGCGGCAAAGACAAAGCATCTTTGGTGATGCAGTCTGCAGCTGTGGCATTTCCTTGGTCTGCTCCCACATTAGAGGCTGAAGCCGAGAGCCCTGTTCTGTGAGGTTGGAAAACTGATCTTGCTTCCGCCATTCCAAAAGTATTCCTTGCTGCCAGAGTGTTTTCCACTCTGTGACGTTCTAGGGCAGCGTCATCTGTGTAAATCTCTTGTTTGCAACCCTTTGCAGCAAGCAAGTATTTTAGGGTCTATTATTGACTCTGAACGTCTTCTAAAGATACAGCTACTCTGGGCATTACCAAAAAACCCTTCCCCGGAGCCGCACTGCAGGGGGAGTTGGTCAGAAATAAACCATGTTGTTCACCTGCAGTCCCATTCCCCCCCCAAAGCATTGTGCTGTGTTGTCTTGTCCATTACAAGTTGCCCTGCCGGAGGCTTAAACTCCCATTTCCATTATGGGAGAGGCACCTGGATGGAGGAAGGGACCCGTCGGGTATGTCTACATTGCATTTAGACACCTGCGGTTGGCCCGTGCCAGCTGGCTCGGGCTAAGGAGCTGTTTCACTGCAGTATAGATGTTCCTGCTTGGGCTGCAGTCCAAGCTCTGGGACCATCCCACCTCCCAGGGTCCTAGAGCCTGGGCCTCAGCCTCCGCCTGAACGTCTACACTGCAATTAGCCTCACAAGCCCAAGTCAGCTGGCACAGGCCAGCCATGGGAGTTTAATTGCAGTGTAGACATACCCTTGGGCTCAAAACAAGCTCCTCTACCATCAATTGGAGTCTTATTTCCTGCCTCCTGGACTTCAGCATAGTAGTTTTTGCAAGGCTTAATCATACAGTAGGTGGTATGAGAGAGCTCCCCACTTCCAGAGCTGGACTGGGGATAGCGGTCTGCTACTGTCCGTTCTCTAGGGATGACACAGCCACTTCCTTTGGGGACGGGGAGGAGAGGGGTTGCATCACTAGATTCGGCTGGTTGATTCTGCCCTAGATCTATGGTGAGGCTTTGCATTGGGGGGAGGGAAGTGTTTGTAGAATTTCTCAGGGGCCTCTCTCGGAGACAGGGGTGTCTGTTTAAACAGCAAAAAGAACAGGAGTACTTGTGGCACCTTAGTACTTGTGGCACTGCTGTTTAAACAGCAGTCAGTCTGCTTGTTCATTCCAGCATGAGCTACAGCTACAGCTGTCCTATGGCGCATTCATTCTTGGGGTGGTATGAAAGTTGCACTCTTACATTTATTGTATCTACCAGGATTTTCATTGTTAGCTTCACTATAGCGGACAGTTGGCTTATGAGCTATCACCTGTTTCAAGCTCTAGTCTACTTGTATCTTTGAAAGGAGGCATCTTGTTCTTTTTCCACTGCAATGTTAGTGGAACAATCCAGTGAGACCCTAGGCTTCCAAGTAGCTTCATGTCATTACTGTCCCACCATCATCCCTGCAGCCTGCTACTCACCTGCTCAAAGTGTGTGGTCCTTGCGTCTGCTAAGGCTAGTGTAGGGGATTCCGAGGGGAGTGTCTCGTGCCAGACTACAGGATGCGGAATGCAGACGGGTATAATTAAGACCCCACTTCAGTTAAGAAATGCGAAATGTTGACTGCCAAGGTGGCCTCCGGGCTGTTACTTGCTGGGTGTTCCATCCCAAGTCTGAGCCTTTCTCGAGCAGCTCCCGGGCGGGAGAAGCCTCAGTTTGAATGATTCAGCAGGTGCACCACCAAAACAAACTCCGCTCCGCTCCAGTGTGTTCTGTGTTCATTTGGGAACTCTCCAGAAGGAACAGGAGTAACAGCTTCTCCGGAACAGACTCCCAACGTGCGCTCGGTCACTGAAAATGAACAAACTGCAGAGACTGGTGCTCCAGAGAGACCCCTGGAACCCCCAAAAGCCCCAGGCTCTGCTAGGCGTCTGGGATCCATAGCTGTATCCTTTACTGCTGCTAGCAGTCAGTCACTGCAGGTATCCTGCTGTCACACCCCCGCCAGTATCATCTGGGTGAGTGTGTCGAAATCGCACTTCGTGAAACCGCAAAAAGATTTAATCTCAGCACTGAAGCTGGCATGACTGTGATCCTTGATGGCAGCATTAGAGATGGCACAAGCTCTGTGCTTGTCCCTGTCATCATCAGCCAGTTGACTCTTGAAACACGTTCCAGCCTTTCCTTCTAGCAAAGAGCCTTCCCTGAGCAGCTAAAGCCAGCCGTGGTATCTTTTCTTCACACTCCCACCCAGCATCATTGCCCACGTTTTTAAATGGAAAGGCAAATGAGAGAGCTCAGACTTACTGGATCATGTCTGATTTGTTTGAAGTCTACATTAGACCAAGTATAATATAGCTGATGTTCATATTAGGTCATTTTGTATGTATGCTCCATGTAAAGAATGTATGTAAGTAGGGGGGGTTTGTGGGAGGGAGTGGGGAGTGCTTCTCTGGAAAAAAAAATTATGAGAATCCATGGATATTGTCATGTTTCTCTTTTTTTTTGTTTCAGTTTAAGTCCTGAACGCTTTTTTGGAAGTCTTTTCTCAGAGAAATGTAAATTGATGCTAATTGTTCTTCAGCTGTGCGATAAAGCATAATGTCGTCTTTGATGTAAACACAGAGGCAAGCAAACTATTTATAATGTCTAGTGAATTAATTGCCTTACCCGAAACCCCATGGGAATGGTTCCTAAATTGTTTCCCTTTTTAGTGTAAAGAATTTTGTAAATACTTTCAGCGTGAGATTGCACCCTAGTTTGTCTTGTCTCTCTGATGGCTGCTATTGCTCAGAAAGTGGATACTGTTTGAACTATTGTACTGTATTAAAACTAAGGCATTTTGTGAGACAATTTAGATGCAATGTTCTCTTGGAATCATGAACTTAGCTCAAAAGGCAATACTCTTGTTAATAGCAGAGTCCTCTCTCTCACCTGTTGGTGACGTTTCCTACAGTCATAGCCTGTGCTCATTCCTGACTCCCATAGAGAGAGACTGCTGGTTTTGTTGAGACTTGGGTTTGTAGCTCGAGTTGATTGGCCATTAACTCAAGTTGGCTAATACGTTTGTAAATACGTGGCCAGTCCACACGTTTGTGTCCTGACCCACCTGTGACGTACCCACAGTCGCCTTCACAGACGTGTCGGCTAACTCAACTCAACTCAACTTGCAGTGAGTTAACTCGCATTAAACTCTGACCGAGGCAAACCCTTTTTTTGTTGTTAAATTGCATTGAGGTCAATCTTCTCTCATGTTTTACTTCGTAATTTATGAAACGTTGTATGTCCTTAACTATTGAAGCGGGTTCTATTAGAACTTTTGAGTCCGACAATACTTTGACAATCTCTAAGCTTTTTTTTGTCGAGGGGAGAGCTGTACCTTTGAACCCAGAGCTGTGGAATTTCTGTATAAAATGTACAACCACTGCTGACATGAACTAATAACACTTGTATGCAACAGCCTCCTCATTCTGCGTCCCCTCCTCCCCCTTCCTTTCTTTTGGAAAGGATCTCTCTAATAAATAGGGTAATCATGCAATTGCCTCAGTCTCTTCATTGGTAACCTGTAGTTGAGGTTTTCAACCTTTCTGGCCTCAGAACCTATTTGTGTATGTTGATGGCCTGTCACGGCCCTGTAAATAGGCCAGAGGAAGGGGGTTGTGTCCTACCCTGGCAGGGGATGGCCTGTTGCAGCCCAGTAAATAGGCCCTGGGAGTGGGGTTGGGCCCTACCCTCAGGGCTAACGAATGCTCTGGGGGAGGTTTGCAGAGCTGTGCAGCGGTCACTCCTGTCCTGTGGGGCAGGCTGGACTCAGCTCCCTGCTTTAGGTGTTGTACCTCTGGGGTTGCAGCATCATTCAGGATTGGCCCCACACCTGATGGGGGGCCAGCTGGACCAAATTTGCGAGTGGCATTGCAACCTGGAGCATGGGCTGGTGGTGCCACTCACTCAAATTTGGCCCAACCAGCCACCTGTCACGATGGAGGGGCAGTGGGACCAAACCTGATGGCACTGTGATGCTGAAGGGTGCAATGCCTGGAGCAGGGAGGCAAACCCGCCCAGACCGACAGGACCAGAGCTGCTTATGTGACCCTTTGAAACAACTTAGGGTCATGACCCACAGGTTGAAAAACCCTGACCTATAGGACATCTTGTACTGGATGCTGGGTAGCCATCCTGATTTGCTACATACAAACCTGATTGTGTTTGATCAGGGTTTGTTTACAAGGGTGTTGGGCACCAAAATCTTAGTGTGACATTCCCTTCTGGTGTTATCGGGACTGGTGATCTGGTAGGCCACTCCAATCCTTGACTCTGGGAGCCAGACTTACCCTGCTCTGCTGTGAGAACCCCCACTCCTGGGCTGTTCACACACAGCCTCTGGCATATAAACTGCTTCTTAGATTGTGCAACCGAATGACACTAGCCAATATCTCCAGTCCCAGACTCAACCCTAGGAACCTCCGTCTTGCAGTGTCCAGTTGTACCCGCTGGATGCTGCAAGCTCTTATGAGTTCATCAGTTTAACAAAGAAATTGATATGTACCAGGCTTGTTATCCCAAGGGGAGTCTCTGACACACTTCAAACCAAACACACTGCTTCAGGCAGAACAAACCAACAGATATAATCACTTAAAATCTATCTTTATAGTTAATAAAAGTCAAAGCATAAGTCAGATTTGGTCAAATGAAATAAAAGCAAAGCGCATTCTAACCTGATCTTATCACTTTCAGTGTCCGTACAAACTTAAATGCTTCTCACCACAGGCTGGCTGGTTACTCTTCAGCCAGGCTCTCCCCTTTGATCAGTGCTTCAGTCGCTTGGTGTGGTGGTGTCCATAGATGGAAGAGAGAGAGAGCATGGCAAACGTCTCTCCCTTCTATCATGTTCTTGGTTTTGCCCCCTCCCTTTCAGAGTCAGGTGAGCATTACCTCATCACAGTTCCAAACTGACCAAAGGAAGGGGGGTGACTCCCTCGAGGGTCTAACAGCTTCTTTTGTTGCTGCCTAGGCCATTGTCCTTTGTTCCTGTGAGGCTGGGCTGGGCTTGTCCCATCCACGCCCTGATGAGGTGTGAACTGCCCCTCTGCTTCTAGAGAGTTTTTGTCTGGGTTTGCTTTAAGCCATGAGGATACATTTTCAGCCTCATAACTATATACATGAAATTGTAACCTATAATGTTACTGTAACAATTACTATAACAACCATACTCAGTGCATCATGAGCCTTCCAAAGACACCTGACATGACAAACCTTGCACTGGATACTACACAATCATTTTACAAGGATGAGAATGGGGGTGCTGGGTGTTCCCCTGAGGTACAGAGCGTCACACTTAGGGCTTGTCTACACCACACAGCTTTTAGTGACAAGGCTGTGTCGAGACAGCCTTGTTGCTAAAAGTCAGCATGTATAAACGCTCTTTGTCGGCACTTTTGCCGACAAAATACTCCCAGCCCCGCGAGCAGCGTTCGCTTTGTCAGCAGGAGAGCGCTGACAAAGCCGCATTCACACAGCCACTTGCATCGGCAAAACGTTTGTCTTTCGCGGGGCGCTTTTT